TGAAATGGTTGTAGAGCGGTAGCCGTTGGTGTTCTGTCCCGGGGAGATTGAAGTATGGCACCAGTACGTCTGTGAGCTCGTGCCATAGCTTCTTCTCGTGGTGGTCCTCGAACTGGATGAACATGTGCTGGAAGTCTTCAGGCGCCGCGTCTCGTTGATCGGAGAGCAGGTTAGGTATCGTATCGATGTCCATGTTTGCCATGGTTGCGGAGGATTGCTGCCTCGTTCGTGTACTGGAGTGTGTCTCTGGCCTCTGGTCTCTGGCCTCTTGCAACGCAGTGTGTGGGGTGGGTGGCTGGCCGGTAGTGGTGGATGTTGTATTGCTGAAATGTTGATGGAGAGCAGGAGCTTGCCTTCACAATGTTCGGAGCTCTCACGTCTCAAACACATCGGGACTTGCCCGAGCCGACCTCGAGACGACGAAGACGACAACCGCATCACTTCCTCACATCTCACACCCCTCTCCGAATCCCCACTCCGCCGCAATGAGTCCACTGGGCGGCCGGACGATGGCTCTACATAGGCAATGCTGCCGGTCTGGCATTGCTGCCGCCGCAGTCACATCGAAGACCGTTTCCGCGGCGCAGAGGAGGGGCCTTCAGGACGTCGCAATCACTCGTACTGGCAAGCCCATTATAAGAGTCGCCGGTGGAAGGTCAGTGGGAATGTCACGGGAGAGAAGATTGCTCTAGGACTATGCTGACGGTCATGGCGTCCAGATCATCACTCGGAGGTACAGCGCGCCATGAGCCAGCCCTACATGGACTGCAGCAACTGACATTGCCCGCAAGGTCACACCGCAACCGTGTTCGGCGCCACGGGTTTCCTCGGACGATACCTGGTGAACAAGCTTGGTGCGCCGTCCCCTCACAAACTATGGATCCAACAAGCCTAATCGGAGGGGCATACAGCGAGGAATGGATGTACCGTCATAGTTCCCTTCCGCGAGGAGATGGCAAAGCGGCATCTGAAGGTGTGCGGAGATCTTGGAAGAGTGGTGTTCATGGTATGGCGAGATCTCTGCTCTCCGCGGCAGCTTGGCCGGCGACTTACGACGGGCTAGGAATTCGACCTTCGCAACACCGACTCGATTGAAGAGAGCGTACGACACTCGGAAATCGTCTACAACCTCATCGGAAGAGACTACCCCACAAAGTAGGCAGATTCGACCCTCTCGACTTCTGAAAAGCCCAATCTCACAACTCACCCCAAAAGGAACTTCGACCTCGAAGACGTGCACGTAGAAGGCACCGAGCGCATCGCCGAAGCCGTCGCGAAATACGACGTCGATCGCTTCGTGCAAGTCTCCTCGCACTCGGCCTCCAAGAACTCGCCGTCGGAGTTCTACCGAAGCAAAGCGCGCGGTGAAGAGGTTGCCCGCAGCATCTTCCCCGAAACGACGATCGTACGCCCCGCGCCCATGTTCGGGCACGAGGACCGCCTGCTGCACACGCTGGCCGGCGTCACGAACCTGATCACCTCCAACCACATGCGCGAGCGCTTCTGGCCCGTGCACGTCATCGACGTCGCCAGCGCGCTCGAGACGATGCTGCAGGACGACAACACGGCCTCTGAGACGTATGAGCTTTACGGGCCGAAGAACTACTCGATGGGCGAGATTGCCGACATTGTCGACAAGGAGATCATCAAGCACCGTCGCCACGTCAACATTCCGAAGCGCATCCTGAAGCCCGTGGCGAATTTGCTAAACAAGGCACTCTGGTGGCCGACGATGTCGGCGGACCAGGTGGAGCGCGAGTTCGTTGATCAGACGATCGACCGTAAGGCGAAGACGTTCAAAGACCTGCAAATCGAGCCTGCGGAGCTGCAGAATCTGACCTACTACTACCTGGTGAGTTCCGAGGCAATCTATCCTTTCCTCTCCTGCCCCCCCTCCACGATACCTAGGGCAACTTGCATGTGTGAGCGAGTAAGTGAACCACTAGCTAACAACAACATCTTTCCCCCTTCCTAGCAAGGATACCGCAGCGCCGCCTTCTACGACCTCCCGCCGCAGACGGAGCGGGAGAAGCGCGAGGAGAAGAAGTACCTGCACGTCATCGACGACCAGTAGTGGTTTCATTTTATGTTTCCGGGCCTTGTACATAGCTCCGTTTTCCGCTTCACAAACAGGTGTATGGGCATTGCTTGAACGAAACCACCGTTCTGAGTACGAATGCCGCCGTGAAGTAAATACGCCCTACATGCAGGGAAACGAAGGGGGTTCCGCATGCCATGCAAATCCTGCGTGCCCTGTGCCCCGTCAACCTGCAATCGTGCACGCCCCCTGAAACTCTTCCAGCGCCCGCCACATGCACGACCCAACACGCGGCCTGACAATTCCAATCACCAAGATCCCAAAGATCCCGTGATCCTGCGTCGTACGTCGCACGCGCAACCCCACACCGTGCTGGACGGTTCAGGCGCCGTCGAGATCGCGCACAATGTAGAAGAGCAGGTACGCGTTCGCGTCGAGCACCTCGCGCTCGGCGACGAGCACGACCTTGCTGTCGTCGAACAGGAACCAGTCGTCGGCCTCGCGGCTGTAGCTGACGTAGTGGCCCGTGTCCAGCTTGCCCTTGTGCACGACGACGCTGGAGAGCTCGTAGATGGCCGTGGGCGCGCGGCCGTCCGCTTTCTCAACCCCTTCGCCGGCCTCGGAACCACTCTGCTGCTGACTCTGACGCTGCCACCGTGTCGTGTACGGGTACATGTCCAACTGCAGCGGGAACGCAATCTTGGCGTCGAGTTTGGACGACGTGGCTTTCGAGTGCTCGAAGCGCTTGAGGTGGATGGGCAGCACCGGCGGCAGCGTCTGCACCGACAACCGCTTCTCGGCTGCTTGGTGGCTGTCGCAGTTGCGGCACGCGTAGTCGGCTGCGGCGAGCTTCTCCGCGCTCGTAAAGCGCTCGAGACAGCTTTGCAAGTTGATCGGCTCGTCGGACCCTGCTGCTGCTGCTGCGGCGGCTGCGGCGGCGGCGGTGGCGACTTTGCCTTGCGCTTGCGCGAGCCGCTTGCGGCGTACTTGTGTGCGGAGATCGAGGCTGAGGTCCATGATGGGATCGAGAGCTGTGGTGACGTTGTGACAGTTGGAGCATGTGACGGTGCTCTGCAGGGTGCCATAGAAGACCTGATGAATAACGCATTCGCAGTCCGCTGCCTTGTGCTGCTCATCATCGGCTGTGTCGCTGTTGGCTAGATGCAGCGAATTGAGGATGAATTGCATATACTCGTGGGCGTCTTGCTGCTTGTGGCCGGCCAGGGCTTGCGCGCCCATCCAGCTGCCCAGCAGCATGCCCACGGCGCCGTAGCCCTCGGCTTTCTCGTACGAGTAGAACTCTTGGAACATCTCATCCATGGCGCAGCTTGTGCACGCTTCGTGGTCACACTCGGCGGAGCGGTGGCCCTCGGCGAGGTAGAAGGCTTTAATGAAGGGGTTGTGGATCAAGGATTGCAGGATTACGCTCATGAAGCACGTCTGACCCATGTTGTAGAGGCCTCGGAGGCCATTGGCGCGGCAGGGTATGGAGGTAGAATTGAGGGAGACGAGTCTGGCGTCTTCAGAGCTGTAAAGGTCTTCGAGTTTCCGCTTCCTACGACCTGCTCTCTGTGTAAGCCACTGCAGTATCAGGAGGTGTAGAGCATCTACCCTTCTGCAGTCGGAGCTCTTCAAATGTCGGATCATAGACGAAGTCGTGACACTCCTGGCAGTAGAGACAGCCACTTCTTGACTCGACGGCTTGCTCTATTGTTAGTCGAGCACTTGATGCTATGGTATGACTTGGATAGCCATACAGAATACATGTAGTTTCGCTTTTCCGTGTCTATTTCTTACTGCTGGTGTGCTAATAGTGGGACATTGCAGGCAAAGGTAGTTGGGTGTAAGAGCTGTAGTACTCGTGCCATCGCTCTTGTATGTTTGTGGAGTAACGGCGTGTCCTTCGTGTATGGTCTGCAGTATTAGGGAGTACTGTTGAAGGGAGAGCTTTCGGGCTTGGCTGAGGAGGCTCTGGACATGTTCTGCATTGCTCACATAAGCGTTGGTCTGGCTATATTGTCCACGAGACTCCCCACTCACCGCAGCCGTAAGACCCACTTGCTGTGTTGCTGGAAGCACATGCTGTATTAGAGGCCTGCTTCTTCATGACCTTTGGAGACGCCAGCGTCGTCGATTGGGTCATGGTGGCCATGCTGTATGCTTGGATGTGTAGACCTCCGACTAGATACAGTGAGGCGTGCAGAAAGACTACATGGCTCGACGTTCACCGTCAAACAAGAGGTAAACGCCAGTGTGTAAATCTAAAAAAAGTGAGCGTTTCACATCGGAGGTCAGGTAAGGTGACTTATCGGTACCTGCATGCATGTGAGAAGCCACGACGGGCATTTGAGCCACACGCGCCGATCTCCCGGATGTCTATTGATTCTCGACACACAAGCCACCTCCGCAGAAGGGCATAAGGTCTATTTTGGCTGGCCCTTGCCAGCCAAAACGATGCCCTGAACACGGGACCGCGTGCACACAGCAGTAATCTGGTTACGATGCTGATATCGATACTCTTTGATAGACACCGTCTGATGGCCCCTGTTGGTTCGATGTTACCTGATTCGGACTGTGTCGAACAGATATAGTCCTTGCTGGCGTATGTATGCTCTATCCTATGGACCGGCAATTGGCCTACAGAATGTCACGTGCTAGGAGTATGGCCGTAGAACTTCAAAATCCTTAATCGTTCATTTGCGGATGGAGCACCTAGAGATTCACGTGATGTCGAAGTCAAGTCACCGCCTTCCAAGTATCGCCAGGTACGTTCTGTGGGCCAATTGCCGGTCCATGGGGTGTATAACTCTTGTGTTGAGCATGATGGTCACGTGAAGGAGCAAGGTCACATCACTCCCTCCGGGAGGGTCGGCTAACTGTCTCTAGCTCTCCATTTGAAGTCGACAGACGGTGTCGATCAACTCCTTGAAGGGGCATCCGAATGCGCCAAGGCCAAAAAGATCGTTGATGACAGGACTCGAACCTGCGCGCCCGAAGGCAACAGATAGCTGAACAAATAGTTCAAGTCTGTCTCGTTAACCACTCCGACACATCAACTTGATAGAAGCAGGCCTAACCTCGGTACAAAATAACCTTAATTGATACCTTCCATAACCGTCACAATGGGCTCCGTCAATGGACTCAAACATGCTTCAATATGTCGAGATCACTTCTAGACCGAACAGTCACTAGGGTCGATGTAGTCCGGAATGTTAACGAGACAGACTTGAACTATTTGTTCAGCTATCTGTTGCCTTCGGGCGCGCAGGTTCGAGCATCTCGTGCCGCAGGGCGGAGCTTCGCACCTCCCTGCGCCACCGAATGTCGTCTAAGGTACGGACCAAAGGTCGGGCCAGTCAGAGAGATCTCAAAAGTGCTTCTGCTACGGGCTATCCCTCGCCATCCACAAGCTCCTCCACAAAGCACTTTCGCCAGCGTGTTTTAGGCGATAGCCAGCAGTACACGCAGTAAGATCTATGGAGCGTTTTGCAAGCACTTGTACTACTGGGTTCTGGCACAAGTATCGTAGGAACTCCACCTTCCGGTCTGCAGGTTGCAAGTCTGGACCAACTGTCCGCTGAGGGTTCACCGGCGGCGCCGAGTGTACGAGGAACACTAGGTCATATAGTGCTTTGCGGATGTTTTTGCTCTTCCAGCCTCGCTCATCTGCAGCCTCAACGAGGTCTTGTACTATATCGTTGACCGTTTCTCTTTGCCCTTCTGTACAATGCTGATGCGAGTCGGGTAGCCACTCTAGTTCGTAGTCGTCTCAGGAGTCGTATACTAGAGCGTAGAGCTGTCCATAGAACTTTGGACTACTGCTCTCGAGGGTTCGTAAGACTTGGGTATTAGGTTCGGGCCATCGTGCTAATAGCGTTAGCATTACGTTCCTCAGTTTATGACGACCGCCGACGGCTCTTACTGATAGTATCGGACATGTTGTATAGCTACCTATAACCGACGGACGCGTCCGGACAAAGAATTCAATGCTGTGAACGGCTATACGAGCACTCGTGGTGCTATAAGAAGACGCCGAATGCGTGTGAGATATAACTATCGACTGCAGGTCATAATTGTGGCAGTCGAGGTACTTCTGCAACGGGCTCGTGCTGAGTTCTATACGCCTGTCACTGCTGCTGCTACTACTGGCCATCGTTCAAGACATAAGAGCACAGCTCCTACACGAGGTAGCTCGTAGATCCTAGGCTATAGCCCGTGGTAAATGCAGCTTTAACGTCTCTCGACTGCCACGACAAATGGCCTGTAGTCTCTGTCAAGTTCCTCAGCTTGTGACGACCGAAGAAGACACTTACTGATGGTATCGGACATGCTGTGTGGGTTGTAGCCGAGATATCATATATGGCATGCTGAGATCTATGCATTGCACGTTTCCTTGTATCCGCTACCATCCTCTCCATCGCAGCCACACGTCGCGGATGATGTCGCTATCATTTGTATCGGAGTCGACCACGAAATACCATCCGAATCCCGCTCCAGCGATACAAGCGTGGTTCGGCCACAACAGTAGCTTCTCCCCGATTTTCAGCTGCCTCATGTTCTCCCGGGGCCCTTCCCAAGTCAAGATGCCGTGCTCCTGACTGATACGACCGACAATCCATCCCGTTTTGTCGGCTTTGTCATCCTCGATATCGTACACTGGGCCCGTTTTCGATGTTACGTCGGCCGTCCAACCGGACACAACAGCCCAGCCAGGATAGCTCTTGCACGGTTCGCGACCCAGCGCCAGACCACCGGCTGCAATAAGCGCTTCAGGTTTCCCACGTTCTGGATAAAGACTCGCCACTTCCACCAGCACACGCAGGGCCAGGTTCTCCCGAGATAGGTAAGGGAAACCATGGTTTGAGTAAGCGGGCCTTGCTCGCGTGGCCAGCTGCTGCAGGTCCAGGACTGGATACACGCCAGCGTGCAGTTCTACGTTGTATCTGCCCTTCACGCGCTCAAACCGCCGCATCGCTTCAGCCATTTCTGGCGTTTCGTCAAACAGATTCTGCGCTGCCGTCGCAGTGGGTGTTGCGCCAAGGGACAAAGTGAATCTTCTCGCGTCACCGTCGAAAGAATAAAGGTTGGTCGCAACATCTGCTGCATCAGCCAGCCGCTCTGTTTCGAGAGTAAGATAGTTTACTGCTTCTGCAGACGAACTGGCAGCGTAGCTGCTTCCCATGTGACTGTAGAAGCCAACGAGTTCGAAACTGCTATGGCGTTGCTGAACCTTGCGTAGGACGTCTCTTAGTTGTTTGGACTCCGGACTGGCACCAGACCGATGGTAGCCTGTATCAACTTTGACGAACAGGCTGATTTTCCCTGGCCAGACACCATTTGGGAGGTCAGACAACTCGTCCAGTGTGTCGGGATGGTCGACCAGCACGCTCACAGAGCTAGGGCCAAGAAGTCTTGCTAATGCGCCAAGACGCCGTATGCTTGACAATGGGGCAGGAAGACCGTACAACATCTAGAGTGAAGCGTCACTGTTGGCCAGGTGTTCGGCCGAGGGTCCGGTGGTGACTCACGTTCACTTCTTTGCCCTGACTTTGGCATTCCTGCAAAAACGGAAGAAGCTGCTCGGCTTCGGCGAGCGTAGAGACAACCACTTTGACGAATTTTGAGTCTTCTCCGACTTGCAAATGAGTGAGCTGTGTGGTCTTGAGACGGATAGATGATACGTTAGGATCTCCTCAATAGAACAGTCTTTGAAAGCATGAAGCACAGAGCACAAAGCGTCAAAGACGAATGGGGATTTTCGAGATACGATTCGCGTGTTCCCACTGGAAAGCCGAGCACCAAAAGCAATTGCTCGCAAATATGGAGGAGAATGAACAACCATCTACAACTCACACATACTTTGTGTGTCTTGACGTGGGCTCTAAACCCTACTCCTAGTAACTTCGCAGTTCCGAGCATCGTCTCGCAATTCCTCCTGATGACAGCAACGTTCAGAATGGCAGCAGGGGCATCTACGTCTTTGATGTCTCTTCCGACATAATGAAGCTTAAGTGCGGCTTCTGAGGGGCCTGAATAGAGCAGAGCGGATGGGATAGGGAAGGAAGTAGACATGGACTGGAACAGCGCTGTTTCAGAGCAATCGTTAACTCTTGTGTCTGTAGGAAAGGTAACGAGAGAGAGTTACGAAGGTAGATGAGTCTACACCTCGCAAAGTGCAGGTGTACCCTTCCCCAAGGCGATTCTGCTTCGAGCTACTGTAGGTCGAAGATCTTATCGATACAGCTAGTCCGCAAAGGGGTCAAGTTCAGCCTCGCGTATTGTATAGTAGGACACAGTGGGGCAGACGTTGAAGAGGCTTATGTATAGACAATGGTATGCACACAAGAGGACATATGTGACCCTAGAGGAGATGCCTTCGAACCAGAATGAATCTGTAACAGTGATGTCGTCCGCGTCGCTATAAGCGTAATGGAACCGAACCCATGGAGCCAAACAATGTGATTCAAAGCGCAAACCTGAGAAACGTGAAACGCTCCCATACCACAAGGTACGAGAGGTACCCTGAGGGGATCTAGCAGACATGTGAAGGAAATTTATAGTACAAAGGTGTTGGCATATGTGGGGAACAGCCCCTTCTAAACGCCGTTGGATGCACCGACCGCGGAAACGCCACGCTGTAAACCATTGCGGTATCTTACAAATCGTCGAATTGGTTGTAGTTTTGGTCTCGCATATCTTTTCGTTCGTTCATGCCTCCGGCCATCTTCTTCCCGATCTCGTAGCTGCTGATCATGATCGCACACGCCGGAGCCACTTTGAGGCATCTAGCTGCCCATCCTTTGAACAGGCCAGCGGTACCCTCAGTCTTGAATATGTGCCAGATGAATCGCGGCATAGATCTGTCCTCGGGTCGTCCCCCATTTGTAGCTAATCCCCTAGCATGTGACGACCCAGCGTCAGGCGAATGGCGCAGAACCTGCTGCCGAGTCTTTCCTACATCGAATGGAGTTGTGACGAATGCCGCAATAGCGCCAGATGAGGCACCTGCGACGAAACTATCTATTAAAACCTGTGAATGTTTCTCCTCGCTTCTCGACCGACTCGCACGTCGCGCCCCTGGTGTTGACTGCGTTTCATGGCGGCCTCTGCGCCGGTCTCTCAGTCCCGCCAGACCGTCTTTACCGTACTCGTAACCCCACCAATAGAAGGCGGAGAACGGCACGTCTCGCCAAAGGGTAAGGCTGAGTCCTCTCCACAGTGATCGGTAGCCTTCGGCGGACACCATTTCGGAAAGACCGTTCAACGTATGGCGGAATACACCGGTTGCGCTGGCCGAGCTCGTGGCTTGCATGCGCGTTCGGAACATTTCGATCGGGCTTACGACTAAAGCAGCCAAGACTCGAGCAGTTGAGCCAGCTACGAGTGGTGCATAGGTATCGCTGACACGGCCATTCATAGGGCTGAGTCTGCTCGTCCGCAGCCAGTCGTAGCCAGCAAAATATATGACATTTCCGGGAACAGCCATCGCTAGAGTTGGACTCAATCCTCGCCACAGGGTGGTAAGACCTTCGTTCCTTGCTATTTTCCGTAATCCGTCTAACGTCGAATTGTACGTCTTCCGTTGGACTTCTTCTGCCGCGCATTCTGAAGCAAGAACAGTGTCAACAGTTGCGCCATTTGGTGTTGCGACGCAGAACCGTGATTGATTTTGAACCCAAAAGACTTCTCGACAGCATGCAGAGATGCCAAGGTTCGGAGGG